TGTGCACGATAAAGTATGGATAAAAGTATCTTCTTCTCAAGTGAATACTCCGGTGTTTTAGTAGAAAGACTGTTATTCTTCATTGATTTGCTTTTTGAACTTTTTCAAAAATCAATTAATCTCATATAGGTCGGTGTATTTGTGTACTTTCTGGTTTGTTCTACTAAATTATCTATTGATCCAATACTTTACAGTAATGATTACTGTAGGCATTATATCTTAAAGTCAGATGCCATGGTCTGCCAAATGTCCTCTTCTTTTAAAATGTTCTTTGAGTTATTCTAAGTCCCATGCTTTTGCATATAGAATTATAGAATTAGCAAGTAAGCCTTATAAAAATACCTATTGGGAATTTAATTTTCTGTTTTAATTTTATTTAATTGTATTTTATTTCAATCATGTTTATACAACACTTTGGAGATAACTGACATTTTAACCACTTGAGTTTTCTGATCCAATTTCATAATAAATTACATTGATTTTTCTTGAATCCTTTTAGTAGTATTTTATAGTGTTCAATATAGAGGTATTGCACATTTTTGTTAAATTTATCTCCCAATATTTGAATTTTTTATATTTATCTCCCAAAATTTTGAACTTTGATTATGCATTACTAGTAAATAGAAATATAATTGATTTTAATATTGACCCTGTATCATCCAACCCTGCTAAAATTACCTATTGATTTTACCAGTATTTTTATAAATTTAATAAGATTTTCAATATGTGTAATTATGCCTTGTATAAATAAGCATGCTTTTATTTTATCTTTTTAATCTAGATGCTTCTCATTTCTTATTTCATTGGCTAGAATTTTCAGTATAATGTTGAATAGAAAAGAATCGATTTGTTTCTTCTTGTAATACAATAAGGTTTTATTTCATCTATTTTGAGGTACTGTTATTAAGTGTATAAAAATTTAGAATAGTTGTGTCCTGTTAATGAATTGACATAATTCATTAAAAATAATATTGTTTTATATTATGAAATGACGTCGTTTCTCACTTATAATTATGAAATTTATAATTATAAAATGATATTACCACTGCTAACATTCTTAGCTCCAAAATCTATATTATTGAATATTGTTATAGCAGTTTTAACTTTCTTTTGACTAGAGTTAGTAAGATATATGTTTTTCATTCTTTAAATTCTTACCTACCGTGCCTTTATATTTGAAGTCATTTTTAAAGTCATACAGTTGAGACTTTTAAAAAATCCAATCTAATAATCTTTATCTCTTACTTTGTTTTTTCTCCCATTAATATTTACTGATTATTATTATGATTAATATTAAGTGTTCCACTTTGCTACTTGTATGTTTTTTCACCTGTCTTTTGATCACTTTTTCCTTTTATTTCTTCTTTTGATTGAGTATTCTTTGGACTTCAGTTTTATCTATTTTGTAGCATGTAGTTAACACTGTTACTTTACTTTAGTAGTTGCTTTAGGTTTATTGTATGCATATCTATCCTTATTATAATCTAATTTAAGATATACCACTTTATACATAGTTTGTGGAGTTTAAAATAGCATATTTCTGACCTTTGTGCTATTAATTTCATACATTTTTACCTCTGTATATGACATGTGCCCCACAATACTTTGTTATTATTTTTGTTTTAACAGCCGTTTATCCTTTAATGATATTATAATTACAAAGAGTCTTTCTTTTTACTGATATAGCTTCCATTTCTGGTGATTCTGTATTTGCATAGATCCAGATTTCCTTCTACTGTTATTTTATTTCTTCTAGAAGGAGTTCTTTATTCATTTATTGTATTGTAGTTCCCCTTGTGTGCCGATGCTGTACAGCAGAAAGCGTCTTCATCCCACTTTCCTTTATTGAAGATTAGGAATGAGACTTTGGGGTAAAAACTGTGATTTTTCAGGTCTGGCTATAGACAACTATAAAGACTTGACCTGGCAGTACAGACTCACTTCGAAAACATTCCTGTCACACCAGATTTGATGCACAACCAATGGATTGCATTCAAGGGAACTGCAGTCAAGGACAGAGTCTTTCTGTTAGGTCATGCTCTTCTTGTATTTACATTCCCAGCCCTAGTGTTTTTATTCCCTCTTCATCTGTGGCCTTGGGCACAGGTCTTTCTCAAGCGTCTCTGATGAAGTGTCCTTATTGAGCAAACTGGGTGAACCTTGAAGACACTCTCCCACTCTGAAAATGTACTTAGTACTTTTTCACTCTTAGCACTCCCCTGGCACTCCCCCGACCCCAGAGACCATAAAAATGACATAGTTTTCTGTACCATTACCTCTACAATAAGATAATCCACGTATCTGTTCTGATCCTCTGATTCGGTGAGAGTGCTGTTCCATGGAGGAAATGAAAAAACAAGATGTAACAATTTCTTTGGTTTTAGCCCTTTGCTTATACCACTGCAGTAAGTGACTAAAGGCTTACCTCTTTAATTTTTTACTTGTTCTTTGAATTAGCTACTCCGATACCTGACAGCTCAGTTTCCTCTCTTTCAAAGCTGATCTCTTTACAAAAATCATTTGTCTTTTGTTGAGAAATTCTCAGTTGGCATTGATTTCTTTTCATTTTCAATACTTTAAAAATGTCGCTGCATTGTCATTTGGCATGCATTGTTTGAGATGAGACATCTGCTATCAACTTTATCTGTGTTATTCTATATATAACATGTCTTTTCTCTGACTACCTTTCAGATTTTTTCTTTATTAATGGCTTTAAGTAATTTAATCATGATGTGCCTTGGTATAATTTTTAAGTATCTGTGCTTAAGTTTTGTTAAACATTTTGGATGTATGAGTTTCTAAATTTCATTAGTTCTAGGAACTGCAATTACACATAAATGTGGATGTTTGAAATTGTCTCACAACTCAATGATAGTTTGTTCATTTTAAATTTTTTAACTTTTTCTCATTATGTTTTTTTCCGGATGATTTATATTTCTGTCTTCAATTTAGCTGGTTTTTTCTCAGTGATGAATAATATGCCATTAATCATTTGTGGTGTATTTTATCACAGACTTTGTGGTATTATTCTCTAAAAGTTTAATCTTTGTTATATTTTTCATTCTTCTACTTAACATGTTCAACATTTCCTCTGTTTTTTTGAACATATATTTTAGTGTCCTAGTCTACTAAAGATGTCAGGCAATAGGAATCCACTATGAATATTTTATATTACATCTAATCAAGCCCCTACAAATTTATAAAAATATGGAGGAGCAAGATTCAGACTATGTGAAATTCTATAGGACAAATAACCTTGATACTTCAGTACATGAATGGAAAGGAAAATTAAAAATGGAGAGGAAACCTGTAGACCAAATGAGAATTGAGAAATGCATCAAAAAACTGCATTGTGTGGATATATTTAAATTTTATTTTAAAAGTCTGTATACCCACATACAAAGCATTTATGCTTGTGTGTGTGTATGTGTGTGTGTCTTGAATGGTTAAAATAATATGACATTTGAAATTTGTTTTACTATTAAAAAGTAATCATGTGTAGAGATGATACAATATTCACCATGTGTTGGTAAATAATGAAGCAGGGTAATGATATCTAGGTATTCATTACACTATTTGATATATCTTTATATGTATCAAAATATCATAATATAAACAAGGCCGGTGAACTTTATATCAATGTTGGTGATAATTTGTCAAACTTAAAAAATATCTTTCTCATGGATACAATTGTACCAGTTCCAAATATTGTTATTCATCAGCTATCAAAAAATATATTTTAGCAATATCTAAAGAGCAGATCTATCTGAATTTCAGATCCTTAACATAAACATAAATTTCACATTTTACACCTCAGCTGAATTTTTCAATGACCTTCGTTAAGTAACTTAATAAAGAATACATCTGTTTAAAGCGAGCACACAGGGACCACAGAATCCCTGTGTTGTTTCTTAATTAGGTGTTTTTTCTTTAACAACTCTTCTTAACACAAGCCAAAGACCTAAACAATCTCTAAGGAGTTCCAAAAAAATACATGCAGAATATTCAAAACACAATCATGCAAAAAGATTCCTAACATGGACTCTGGTTTTTCTGTTAATTATATGATATTAAACTCCGTTGTGAATCTCACAAAATTATTTTTCTTCATGAAAGCCAAAAAAAATAAATAAATTGAATTTGGCTGAATGTCATTGTTGAAAATGCAAAACTACTCAGTTACATATAAGGATTAGAATTACCAATCATGAAGAGACAGCCTTAAGTCAATAGAAAGTTTTAAATGTAAAACTCAATAAGCAGAGATTTTTGTTTTAATATTTAAATACTAAAAGATACATTTCAAATTGTTCTTACATATTGCAAACATTCAGCCATTCTTACCCAAGCACTATAATTTTATATTTATTGCTTTAAGATTATTGTTTTGTTAAGCTGATAAACAATTCTTCCCCATATCTTTGAAATTAAAAGAGTAAATACCTTGCACAAGCTTTCTATTCAGTGTTTTATAGCATCAGTATAACTGATTATTGAATTCCCAGTTTTAAGCTGAATTGCCATTTGTCTATTTAATTACTACATAAAATATCATAATTTGGGAAATTAGATAAGAGATATTATCTCTATCAAATAAAAAAAGGAAAAATATGACGTTTTCCTCCCCGATTGACTATTGCTTTAATAAGACAGTTTGAGTTTTACCGAGAAAGAATGGGGAAAGTAAGCAAGTCAAGTTAAAAGGAAGTCTATCTCAATGTCAGCTGTCAATCAAGGAGACTCCCAGAGCAATCTTTCAACCTTCAGGCAGATTTATGGCTGCAGTTTAAAACTAGCAGTGCCTGAGTGGAAAATTATAATTGTTCTAATCAAATTATTGCTGAACTACAAAATATAATTAGCCAGCTTAATTGGGAGATAAATTAAATGTATATTTTTATTCCATTTTTGTCAGATGCAAAAGTTGTAACCTGTCTAGTAATCATGTGAAAAAATGTTATTTGAAAATGTCAAATCTTGTTTTGTTTCCGACGTTTTAGGCATACAGAAGATACACCTAACCAAAAAAGATTATCAAAGCATGCGATATTTTTGTTTGTGACATCCTGTGTCTTCTGAAGAGTAAGGAATCAAAAGAGTCATTACAATGAATTGTTGTTTGCTGCTGCCTTTGATGTTGGGAATTCCTCTCCTATGGCCTTGTCTTAAAGCAACAGAAAACTCTCAAGCAAAGAAAGTCGAGCAGCCAGTGGGATCTCATTTAAGAATGAAGCGTGGCTGGGTGTGGAACCAATTTTTTGTACCAGAGGAAATGAATACGACTAGTCATCACATTGGCCGGGTACTTACTTGTTTAAAATGTTACAGTAAATAGCACAACAATGTAAATAAATGTGTTGAAGTTTGGGGATTTGATGAGTTCCACATTTTGGCAGTGACACCGTTAAAAAACTTCAAACATTAGCATCAATAATTGTTTCAGATTTGCAAGCACCTAAAACATCCACTAAAATCTAGAAGAGGGATAGCTCTGGTTTTTAAATTTCACTTTAGTATCCCTCATTTTCAACATCTGTAAATTTGATGGTGTTATTTTTGGTAATGGTTCAAAGCAACTACACTGAGACAAGTATCATTTACCAACAGTATTTAGCCCAATTTTCTGTTATGCTAAGTAGCTGTTGATTTACCCCTCATTCATTTTTAATGAAGCAGATTAATACCACATTCTTTTACAGTTAAGTAGCTTCAGGAGCCTACACACTTCAATTGATTAGTAAAGTTAAAGTAAAAGGAATAATTATGTTCACTTTCTTAAATGAATATATTTTAAGAATAATTCCTTAATAAGACAAAATACATCTTATTTATGTTTTTGGTTTGTATTTTATTATTTGGTTTTCTTTAAACAAAGCTAATTACAATATCATGTCCTTTTCCGTAAGGCTTTTTCTCTAGATGAATGAACTGAAATACGTTAAACCGCTAATTAACTGGCACTAAAATTTAATTGGGCCCAAAGGGTGAAACACTCAAAATTTATTAACTCTCATTTTCTAGCCCTTTCAGGAGAACTGCAGTGTTAGCATGGTATCTGGATTCCATAGAAGTTCACCTATGTTATCAGCCAAATATATATGAGTACATTCAACTAAAGGCTTAGATTAGGATTTTAGGCAAGTATTTCAAAATGTGTAGGAAGGTGTATTGTAAACACACACATACACACACACACACACACACACACACTTGTTACAAGTAATGTTTCTCGTCCTTTTTTATTTTCTATTCTGACTGAAAGTAAATAGCATGCACGGATGGCACTAACAAGGTCCACAGCTAAGTGCGGACTCTGTAACTGAGTCTCTACTACCTTTACAGTGGACTGCACAGAGCACCATATGCTCTTCCATCACTGCAAGGGTGACAGGCTACAATCAGCTGTTGGCTTTTAGTCAATAATGTGTTGTAGGGAAGTGCATTAGTGTAATTGGAACAAAGGCAACCTGTGGGGCTGTCACATTTTCTAGATTGTTTGTTTCTATCCCCACATGAATCTTCGCTTACCTCTTTTCACACAGTGATTGGTTTTGCCTATTTTTTCATTCTACAAAAATACTTGCGAAACTACTCTGACAAATATTTTCCTGCTACACGAACTCATTGGGCTTAAGAAACAAGCAGATCACTGATTTGAAAAAGAATAATAATGAATGTTTAGGTGCTTGTAAAAAGATTTAGTAAAGATACAATTTAACTGATGTTTTCAAGATAACTCTCTCTTTGATCCATTTGTTTGAAAAACGATTAAGATTGGGGAGTACAATTAAGTGAACATTTGAAGTGATATTGGTTTAGCAAATTGATAGTAGCAGCCTAATTAGGAAAATATTTTTTGAAAAGAAGTATAGAAAATTGCATAATATCAGAGGACATTTGATTGAAATAGGCTTAACGTATGCATTTTGTCACATTAAGAGGCAAGGGTTCAAGTAATTTTTTTCGTTTTTATTTCTGTCTTCCCTTAAATCTGGGTCTTAAAAATGTCAAGCTCACTTGTCTTTGAAAATTACACTGTACATATACTTGCAATATATTTATTACTTAATTTATCTTAATTATAATATTAAATAATCAAACAACAATGAAATATTATTTTAAAAATATTAACCATACATTGCTCACTTGATATATTGACTTGACTGTATATTTATTTTCCTCAGTTTCTTACATCATTGAATAAATAATTTTTTATGAGTAATTAAGAGTTATCAAAGTAAAAGAAGTATTAGCAGGAAGATAATTTGGATGTTATTTTTCTCGATTTGTTCCATTACATAGCATTTATATTCAGCACATTATTAAAATGCTAAATTAGTTACTATTACCTTTAGATTTTCTCCACAATCACATAGAAAGTGTATTAATTTATCCAGTATAATAAATTATAACTTGAGCCATCAGAAAAAAATATGAATTTGCTTACAACTGTATTTCATGGTTATCTTTGTAAATTTTCAGAAGAACTCGTACTTTGAATAAGAGCATTTTCATAAATGGTGAATCAAGAAAATGTGGATTCACAATGATTAGAGAATCATGACATACTTCTCTTAGGTACAAATAATTTAGATATGAAAAGCTATGTGATCAATTGTATCAAAATTAGACTTGTTTTCTGTTACAGATAAATTCAAAATTCTAAGTAATACCTCAACAGTATGAATGATGAACAAATTTATGTTGCTTTTGAAAATATGAAAATGTGAGCACAGGCTGAAAGTGTATATTTGAGAATTAGGTAGAATATATTGAGAAGTTTTATACTTTCTGGCTAAAACCCAAGGGCTAAAGACCATTGTTGTTGTCAGGGGAGAATCTAAAATTTGACAGCCTCATAGAAAATTTGATAAACTCATGGCATAAATCCTAAATCTACAAAAGACCATGTGACTACAAAAAAGTTTGTAAAACAAAATCTCACTTTTCTTCTCTGTAGGAAGACTGATCATATCAATAATATGCATTTCATTATATTATATGAGAATTATTTGAGAACACTAATTAAAGCAATTTATAGATTTTATGACATGTAATAAATACTAATGAACCCTAATTTTTATCTTTATAAACCCTAATTTTCATCCTAATATTTTCTTGTTTTTGTGTATTTCTAGTCAAGTGACAAAACATTGCTGTTTAAATGTCATTAAATTATCTTTCTATCTGTCCCTAGGTCCCAATGTAGTATAAATATTTGGGAGTGTAGTTTTAGTGATTAAGAATTTAATTGTAAGTCAAAAATCAAACCAACTATGTTGTGCATAACTTAAAAAAGAAGTTTTATTTAATTATTATTGTTTTCGTTTAGAATAATAAAAATTGTATAGTTTTTTACGCCAAATATTTACTCTTCCCTCTTCTTGGTGATAGATTTTAATCTTAATGTTAATATTTTACCTCATTTAATGTAATATGGAAATAATGTTAAATCATTAACTTGGGGAAGAATTAACATACATAAGAAGAAAATTCTTAAATTTGATTTGTCTAATTCAGATGTTTGAAAATTAAATTATCCCTCTTTCCATTTGCAGCTCAGATCTGATTTAGACAATGGAAACAATTCTTTCCAGTACAAGCTTGTGGGAGCTGGAGCTGGAAGTACTTTTGTCATTGATGAAAGAACAGGTGACATATATGCCATACAGAAGCTTGATAGAGAGGAGCGATCCCTCTACACCTTAAGAGCCCAGGTAATAGACATCACTACTGGAAGGGCTGTGGAACCTGAGTCTGAGTTTGTCATCAAAGTTTTGGATATCAATGACAATGAACCAAAATTCCTAGATGAACCTTATGAGGCCAGTGTACCAGAGATGTCTCCAGAAGGTATTGCATATTACTTTACATTAAAGATATATTAACAATGAAAGCAGGTTTAAAATTTCAATGATATGTTTTCGAAGTAGATGATTTAAAATTCTATACTAGAACTTCCTTCCCCAAATGTGTTTAAGTAAAATATTTGAAAAATTAGACTATGCATCAAATTTTGAAAAAAAAGGACTACATAAAAATTATTTATGTTATTAAAATGCCATCACAGTCTTCACAGCAATAAAAAAAGTTTAGACATGTTTATTTGAGCAATTTTTAATATTATTTGTCCTGTTCATTTACTAGATTCTTAATTACAAGAATTTTTTAAAAACAAAATATGTTTTTGTATCTCATAAAAGCAAATAAGATAATCCCACAAGATATGCATATTGAAATATGAAAAGCGAATTTATTAGGCACTACTGTATACATCAAAACCACTAAGACAAAACCAAGTGGCTGAACACCTGTGTGTGGCTGCATTAACTTGAACATCCTTTTCAAAACCCAATGCTGTTGTTGCTGATATTTTACATATAATACATTTAGGAGGGAACGGTTTCCATAAGATATAAGAATTAAGTGTCCTGGAAATAAGAAATGTCTTTCCAGTAAAGGGGAAATTGTGATTATGCAAAATTTATCTTAGTCATTCACTCAAAACATTTTCATAGCCCAATATACCATAAAGCTTAAATCAAAAATTTATTTAACAGTGACAAAGAAATGTGATTTGATAAGTTATTTTAAATTATGGTAATATGCTTATAACTACTTTACCTCATTAATTCATTCACTAGAAAATGATTCTACAAATGCATATTCTATCATATTATTTCCCGATTGTTTATTTTTTAACATTCTAGGTAGGAATTTAAAGATGTAGTTCTACATTGTTTAGAACATCTTAGGTCTTTAAATACAGCAGAAACAAATTTGCCTGTGTAATGTATATCAAGACACGTTATTGTTAGATGTAAATAGCACTTTAAATTACTCTATTTTGGTAGCTAGGTGAAGAAACAGTTTGTCTTCCTCCTCCCTCGCTCTCCTCCTCCTTCCTCTCTTCCTTTCCCCTGCTGCCCTCTCCTCTCTCTCCTTATTCCCTCTCTTCCTCCTTCCTCTCTCTGCTTCTTCCGTTTCTTCCTCTGCCTCCTTCTTATTCTTTAACAAGCATATATTATGATCTTAACATTTGCAAGGAATCTTCCTTTGAAACTATAGATAGAATTGTAAAGGAGATAAAGAAGTTACCTGCTAATATGAAGCATATACAAAAAGAAAAAGCTATTTTTAATTAAAGGAGGTAACATATGATAATGTATATTATAAAAGTGTTATGCATGGGTGAGGTATGGTGATTATTAACTGTCTGGAGGAAACAGGACATTTTAGGAAGTGATATTTGAGGTGAACGATACACACAGCCCATCCATACCACATTCTAGGAAAAAAAAGTTCCATAGCAGAGTGCTTATGACTGCATGAATCAATATGGGAGTCATCGATACATAGAATATATCTCAGGCACAACAGTGAATGAGATCCTTTTGGCATAAAATGCAGCTGGAGAAGAGAAAAGCATCCAGGCTGACTTGACTGTTAAGCAAAAAGCAGTCGGCTGGCAAATTAGAATGAGTGGGATTGGCAAGTGTTGTAGGAAGAGGAGAAAGATATGAGGAAATATGTTCCAAAAGAAGAGATTCCCTCAACCGTGTGGGATGCTGCTGTGAGGCTAAGATTAAGACAGAGTGGTGACTTTTGATTTGGTAGGTTGAAGATCCCTGTTTTTTTGATAAGTACAGTGGTTTAATTTGTGTCATTTAAATTCGTGCAGTTTGCTGAAGACTATTGTATGGCATAAAAGGAAGAATAAGAGGAAGTAACAATGAATTAAGCCAAGTCTAAAAGGTGTTACGTTATAGGGAGAAAATGAGATGTGAGACACTAGGCAGAAAAAGATGAAGGTCGAGAGGACATTTTGCTTGTTTACAACGATTCAATTGCTTTTTAAGAAAGGAAACTGAATAGTACAGTTATATACTATAGGAAATGATCCCAGAGAATATTTTTCAAGCAAAATAAAAGGGATATAACTTTTATAAAACTATGCTTAAAAAAAGACAGAAAGAAAGGGTCATGAAATCCATTGTACTTATAGAAGGGACAGATTATAGATTAACATATTTGTTCATAACAAATCAGTTAATAAATCTTTCTATTTTATCAGTGACTGATAAAATAGACCAAGAGTCATAAGTAAAATATTTCTATTTTATCAGAAGCGTAATACAAAGGCAGTAATTGACAGCACATGGGTAAAATTTTAGAGAAGAGGAGGTACAAAACAGCATTTTACAGAGCTGAGTAGTGAGCCTACGAGAGAATTATTGGTATCATGGTATCAGTGCAGCTCCACTGTAGGTGTTCAGAGAAACTGGAAAACATGGTTTGGTGTATGTAATATCTGGTTATCACAAATCCTTTGTGCATTTGAATGTGAGATATATGTACAAATTATCTTTTCGATTTGTATAATCAATACGTACTGTGTCAATGCCAGTTAAACTTTGTATGAAATCATTCAAAAACCAATGAGCACTTTATATGCCTTTCCATGAGAGGGAGAAGCCAACTGAGTGATGGTGAGTTGCTATTAGAAATGTTGTATAATATGGAAATTGATGAATATTTCTATTGCTTTGTCAACTTTCTAGTAATGGTTTCCTTCCGAAGCATTCCGGCATTTTTGTTGACAGTGATGTAAATAAATCAAGTAATAAAATTTTATGTTATTTCTTTTTTTTCCTCAATCTCAATATTAAATTAATGCATACTGTGGATTATATTACCTAAATATAACTTTAATTCTTCATCATCTTTCATATCCACAGACATTTGAATTTTTGAATATTGACCTTACTTCCAAATTTCCTAGCCAGCTACTTCATTCTTTAAGGAACAACTATTACAAACATTTTACTGTTTCTTTTTCTTACATATATTTCTTTTGTATTAAAGTGAACTGCCTGAATCTGCACTTGAACTCAGAATTTGGTTTAAATTACTGAAAGGAATCCACATTTCATTATGTCATGAGATAAAATCAAGAAAATTATTAACAACTTGTTGCTTATTAAACACAAATTTATTTATAAGTAATGATGGGTTTTTTACTGGCTGCATTTATATTTGAAATGCAATTACTTTCAAACTAGAGCATTCAAGTAGAATTGAGATAAAACATTATGTTTTCCCAATTGTCACTTTGAATTTGCAAAGTTATTATTTTTCTTCCATACAAAAATATAAGATTTATTAGACCAGGAGTCACAGAGAGACTGAGGTTTGGAATGACTGAAAAAATAAATGAATGGGTGCATGGTGGACAAAAATGCTACATAAGTGATTAGAGTCGTTTAGGATATAGATAGAACATATCAGGAGATGTGAAATTCAGGGAAATCATTCTGAAATTATATCTGAATACCCAGGCTATCACATATATGATTTTCCATTTCAATAACAGTTGATAGTTTTACCTAAAACCTTATAATGTCAAAAAAAGAAGGGGCATTTAAAATACATGTAGTATGCTACTTAATAAGTAATTAAGCCCAAGCAGAGTTGGGTAACTTATCTTCTGCAAGTCAGAACAAAATCCTGCTAAAAGTGAAATGTGTTTTAACAAGTCACGTTATGTGGAAAACAACCATAAGAAATAAATGTTGATGTTGTACACATTAAGAATGATCATTAGTGTTAATACACTTTATTTATATGTTTGTGTATGTACAAATGTAAAAGGAAAATAATTTAAACCTGATTTCTTTAAAATTTAGTTTCACATATTTCCTACCTAGTAAAAGCAAGGTGAATATATTGTCTAGTAAAAAGACTCTATCCACTCTCTTTGGAGTTTTTCCAAATAAATATCCTTCACCAAATTTTTCATAGCTGCAGTCACTGGTTGCATCATTTTTAATATTAGCCAGTGTCCAACATTCCTTACACTTATTGATCATTTTATTAAATTTTCAACCAACCGGATGCTTTTGAAAATGAATGGGGAAAACTGATGAGTAAAACTCTGTTTACCTTACTAGTCAAGGAAGTTTATTACAGCATTTCAGATTTTAAATTTAAATATAGTAGGTTACAATAATCTCCGTAATTATTAAACAATACTTTAGTATGCATTTTTTGGTAAAGTATATATAAAATTTAATCGTCATCAATATGGCACAATATGTCATAAAGCAGAGCTTTTATAGAAATATTAAATTAATTTTAATCATTGTATGTAAAATCTATACAAATTTAATTTAATTCTCAGGAAAATAAAAATTATTAATTTTTAAAATTTATTATATTTGAAAATTAAATTCTATAAATATCATGACTTTGGGCACATGAGTTGAAAATGATTGAGACTGGGATGAATTTCTCTTCTCATTCCTCTAAATATACTATTGTTTGATTTCTTAAACACAGTCTAAATTGTTTCACTTAAATTATGTTATCTCAGATTATAAAAAGTAGAGGTGTCAAAAATACAGGACAAAATAATAAAAATGACCTAGTTTTTAGGTGACTATGGACAGAAAAACAAGAAAATTGAAGAATGCTTTGCCCAGTTAAGATGACAAGTGGGAAAATATTATCTGTTTCCTCAGTTTCACTTTGAGATTTTAGGTTGTAGAGTAATTGCATCTCAAGTATAAATGCAGTAAGAATGGATCAGTCAGTACTTGTAGAAAAATAATTATCCTCTTACTAATAAAATAAGTTCCCAATGAGAAAGAGTGAGCAGATACACCTATAAAACCATTACATCATGCATTTGATCATTCGATCACCTCATTCGTCTTATATCTGTTTTATTGTTGCAGAAATTACAGATGTAGAATGTGGGTCAATATAATATTATTTAATCTGTATTGCTTTAAAGTTGACAATTATATAATTCAACATCTCAATACATGTGTTTCAGATTAATCAAAGTATAC